GTGCCCTTCCATTTGTCGTTAGACTATCACATTATATGCTTATTGCTGGCACGGGTTTTGACCATCTTGGAATATCCTCTAAGTAGTTGTGCAACCATTCAGTCTCTTCACCACTTTTATCTAAAGCTATAAACTCAGATTCCATAGTGGATCTGGCTATCACTGTTTGTTTTGCGTTCATTTAGTGTCCAGCTATTTCTGTATCCTTTCGGATTGGATGATTTTGTGGGGGCACTCAACCGCTCTGTTGCAAATACTTTGTTGGACTCCGCACATGTTGCTTTAATGTGTGCCTTGAAGCGCCATATTGAAAGGCTCTCGTCTGAATGTTCAGAGCTCGCATCAAAGTGCTTGAGGTACTTTCTTGGAACTGTTAGAATTCCTTTCCATTTTTTGGGTAGATTTATGTACTTCAATTACTGTTTTGGCTGTTAATGAAAGTTGATGTGTATCTTTAATGGAACTATTCATTTCTTGGTTTTGCTTGCTTTTATCATGCTTGGGTAAGGAGAAGAATGCAAAATCACTCTCAATTTGTAGCACACGAAGTTTTCTATGAATTTCATGTCTACGACCATGTCGTTTGCATTTTTTCACTAATCCTTATGTATGACCACCAGAATAGTTTGATCATGATAAGTTTTCCCTTTACGCCGAACAAAATCTTGAAATGACATTTTTATTTATCCACCCTACGCATGAAGTGTTCTCCTGCTAATTATAACTTGAAAAAGTTCCATCGTGGAACACTCACTGTATGATCGTGTTGTTTCTATGTGAGTCATTTTCACAATCGATCTTCTATTTTTCTTGCCATTTCTGCTCGCATGTGCTTGGATTGGAGTTTGCTTGATTCATTCACTTGGCCAGTTTACTTGGTCAACTATCTAATGGTTATGGGGTATATAGGTGGACCTGACTGGAAAGGATTTTATACTCTTTCCCTGGAAAGCGATTATTATACTTCATCTGTTGGAAGGAAGCTAATGATTTTGCAAATTTTGTGTGATGATATTCTGGATTCTGAAGAGCTAAGAGTAGAAATTGACACGCGTGAAGAATCAGAAGTTGGAATAGACTCAGATACAGGGACAACGGTTGCACCTGCTGGTGGACCAAGAAGAGTTCATCTGAGATATTCTAAAACTTCTGCCTGCAAGGACAAAGATGCAATGTAAATCATTGCAGAACGCCACGAGTAAAAGCCGTCTCTTAATTCTCATTCTTTGGGGTCTGAAATAAGTGGACCAATTGAGAGCTCCGTTGTTGACCAGGATGGTAATGGGGATGAATGCCGTCTTTGTGGTATGGATGGATTTCTGCTGTGTTGCGATGGTTGCCCGTCGTCTTACCATTCAAGATGTTTGGGACTCTGTAAAATGTATATGCCAGAAGGGTTATGGTATTTGTTAAGAATTGAGGTTCCATCTTAAAAGGTCAACCTTTCAAGATGAAACTCCAATTCTTAACATGGTATCAGAACTAGGCCCAATTATGCAATGTTGGGTGCAACCCAATATCGATTTGTTCACAATT